GTATCAAATAACTAATTTCGCTCTTGCAGGAAATCATTTGTTCTTTATAGCTGCACTGGAACTGTACTAAACAAGATAGTACAGATCAGACTATCTATCTGTCTTGTATTATCCTGTTATAATGCAATCCCAGTGCAGCAATAAAGGAACAAACCTTATATTTATCGATCGTTTTCGTAAAAATTTCACTTTAGTAAGACATTAGACATTGATACACTAAGTAAAAAAAATTAAGACTGTAAATTTGTAAATAAAGGACAAAATTGTAATATAAAGGATACAATTTAAAAAAAAGGACAAAATTAAGTTTTCAAGAAATGAATAAATCTAAAGGACAACTACTTGAAATAAAGGACTGTCCTTTGAAATAAAGGACGGATGGTCACCGTAGAGATACTCCATAAATAGACGACAAAGAAATTCCAGGCTTTCCCAATTATGTGATTACGTTACATCACGTGGATGTTTAAAATATTATATAATCGTTACAGAGAATATATAATGTGTATTGTGTAGCCGTGATGCTACATTGTTATAAACCCCATATTAAAGCAGTTCTATAACAGTTATGATATTTGCAAGAATGAGAATGAAATATATTTACAAGAATATGAATCGTACAGCAATAGAGCATTTGTTATGTAAATGTTACATATACCTGTTTCAGCTTTAAAACATCACAAAGTTACATATGAAGTGAGTAACAAGTACATCACAATGTTTATATTATATCATACGTAAACAATGTCACATACAGTGTACATCACAGGTTTACATAGCAGTGATATACATAATCTTTTGATGTGACTGGAAATCTAATTATATGTATATATAATTATTTTATATGTAATCTAAATTATTTTGGTATTAAAATTATATAACTATTTTTTTTTTAAACAGTTTAACAAGACATTTTATGCTTAAACTTATAAAATTAAAACTAGAACATACTGTTATATTTTTTTTTATTTTATATAAAATTTTTGATTAATATAATTATAGGATAAATATGTGTTAGCACGCGCTCCCCCCCCCCACACACAATC